TTGTGATTATTATTGTTATTTTTATTATTGGTACTGGGGATCAAACTCAGGACTGCACTTGCCAGACATGCGCCAGCAACACTGAGCTAAATTTCTGGCCCTTAAGTTTGATTATTTTGATGTTGTCTAAAAATATGTTAACATTTAGAACCTCTGCATAACTCATTGAAGCCATAGTTTCCAAATAATGGGTGAATCATGTTATAAAATCATGTATGTAAGAAGATCCATTCAAAGTATAAAAAGATAGCTGGAGATTTAGCTCAGTGGTTCCTCCACCTGCCTCGAAAGTACAAGGACTGGAGTTCTATCCTTGGTACAAGAAAAACAAAAATAAACAACACAGTTCACAAAGTATGAAAAAATGGATTTTAATGTTACAGAATACAAAAAGTTCATCCATATAGTTTCAAATTTCACACTTCAGCTAACCTCTTGTTAATGTAACCTTTGACTGCTGTCAGTTTTGAGTGTAGTATCAGAGAAGAATAAATGCACCTCCCTTCTCCAACTGTGTATCTATGTTTTAATATTCAGTTAAACAATACATCATAACAGAATGAATGTGAAAGTGAATATAAGGCTACAACTGTTTTCAATTAAGCCAGATATTAAAAAGATTTCCAAAGCTGGGCACGGTGACACACACCTATAATCTCGGGAGGCTGAGGCAGGAAGATAGCAGTGAGTTTGGGGGCAGCCTAGGCTACACATAGTGAGACCCTGTCTCAAAACAACAACTATGAAAGATTTGCAAAAATTTGAAACAATCCCATCCTTTTCATGAATTTATTCAGAAAACAATTGTTTTTCATAAAACATTATTTTATATAATTTGTTAGAGATTTATTGTTTAAAATGAATAACTAAATATACAATTTGTGTGTGTGTTTTTTTTTTTTTTTTTTTTTGAGGCAGGGTCTCACTATTAATTCAGGCTGGCCCTGAACTCAGTATGTAACTCAGGCTAGCCTTGAACTCACTGTGATACTTCTGCCTTAGCCTCCAAGTGCTGGAATTACAGGTGTGTACCACCACACCTGTCTGTTTAATTTCTAATATGGTAGATATCAAACATTTCTCTAGGGTTTAAAATTTTTAGTGTATGAAGGGGGTCCTGATGCTAAAAACCTGAGCCTATGCTCTTCTTTTTTCTCAGAATTCTTTTCTTTTCTCCCTAAGAAATCATACATATAATTGTGGAGTTAATATTTAGGTATTAATTTTTAAACACAGAGCATTTTAACAAGAACTTAGCTATTTGCACACTGCTGGGATCATGGTTCTTATCCTATTTTGTGGAAATCACAGTCTAGTAGAGATGACATATTAAATGGATAATTACATGACTATATGAAAGATGTTACCAGTAACAGCACATAGTTATTGTGGGAATCTAGGCTGTCATCACTTTCTTGCATCCAGCCCATTTACCCACTCACTTAGGACGTATGACTGGACTAAGCCTCCTATGTTTGATTTTTCATAACATGACAGGGAAAGTGGCTAAAGTTAGCAGAAGATGAGAACTTTTCATTTGCTTCTCTGGGAGGAAAGAAGGGTGCTGCAAATGTATTGAATATTAGCTTTATGCCATGTCCTATACTGGATGTTTTAACAAATCCAGTTTCACTCCATTCTCACAAAAATCCAGTGTACAAGATTATTACCTTCATTTTGCAAATGATAAATTGGAAGCGCAAAGAAGTTAAACAATTTGTTCAGTATTGTATGGTTTATAATTTATAGAGGGGGGATTTAATATATTGTTCTGATCATAAGTTCAGGACTCTCATTGTAGTAATAATGCACTGCTAAATGGGTGGATCTTCGAAGACATTTCCACATGACCGTGGGAAACCTTGCCTGGATAGAATACACATGGAAAGATAGAAGAAGTCTCCACAAGGATGGGGAAACAGCTTAGGAAATGCTTAGTTGAAGAAGTTATTTGTGAATTTGGCTGACATGACTGTTTAGCAATATGGTGGTTTTTAAGCTTTTGTACTTCTTTATCTTCAAATCTTCTAATTCTTCTGTGTACCAAATGATACCAGCAGCAAAGGTCACCTGCCTGATCAGATTACAAAGCAGTTTGTTGTTTGAAGCACAAACTTCTGGGATTGCCATAGGATTTTGGGAAAGGTGCTGGCTGACCTTAGGCCACTAGTGTCCAACCTGGAGGCCCCTACTCCCTAGAGCTTGGTAAACTATTTCCATTGTTTTTAAAGCCTACTAGGAACTGTGCTATACTTAGGTAAGCCTCTGTATAGATGCAGGCTCATAAAAAGACTGGGTTCTTTGGGTTAGAATGTTGTCAATCTAATGTGATTTATGTATGCTACCTAGATCTTCTAGAACATAGAAGGGCTAAATTCAATTCACCACCTGTTTTTGTGAAAAAGTTGTTTTTTTTTTTAAAACACTAACTCATATCTGTATTTTGTCTGTGGATGTTTTAGAGTTGTTTAAGAATTGCAGGGCTGGGGATTTAGCTTAGTGGTTCCACCACCTGTTTTGCAAGTGTAAGGTCCTGAGTTTGATCTCCGCTACCAAAAAAAGAAAAAAGAATTGCAGCAGAGGGGCAGGGGATTTAGCTCAGTGGCACTGTGCCTGACTTGCAAGTGCAAGGTCCTGAGTTCAATCCCCAGTGGATAAAAAAAAGAATTGCTGCAGGAACTATATGGTCTATAGATCCTTAATTGTTTACTAGGTGGCCCTTTACAGAAAAAGTTTGACTCCCTTTTTCCCTGTTGTGACACTTAGCACATAGTGTTTCAATTGTCGGTTGCTCGCACTTTAGTAATTGAGCTCTTGGGGACAAAAATAAGATGTGATTCATACCTTTATGCCAGGTGCTGATCATAGGGCTTTAAATATGAGCAGTGCCCAATAAATGTTATTTAAATGGCTGTATTAGGTGCTTGCTGAAAAGCTCTGATAGGCAGCCAGACATGGTTGCACAGGCTTGTAATCCCAGCTACGTGAGAGGCTAAGGCAGGAGGGTCACAAATTCAGGGTCACTGTTACAAATAAAAAGGATTGGGGCTATAGCTGAATGCTCCCTTGGCTCAAATCCCAGCCCCTGCCCACTCCCCCTAAAAAGCGCTACAAAAATGAGGCTGAGGAAAAAAAGTTAATACCGATTAAGGTAATTTCAGCACTCTATGCTTTATTTATGAACTAGACATTACTTATTACGTTTGAGGGGATGGTTTTTCTGGAAATGGGTTCCAAGAATGAAACAGTCATGCCAGGACTTCTTGTTGGTGAGGAAACTGAAAAACAATGTCTTAATCTCTGTCTGTATTCTACCCTATCTCTCAGAACCTACCATCTCTCCATGCTACTCCTAATCCAATTGGGCAGAACACATGTAGAGAAACTAACAGTTACATACAGGTATATCTTTTGTATGCATACTGTTATCTTTTTTCTTTTCTTCTATAGAACATTGCTTTTAGCTGGGTGTGGTGGCACATGCCTGGAATCCCAGCACTCTGGTGGCTGAGATAGGCAGATCTGAATTCTAGTTTAGCCGGGGCACCTTAACAAGACCCTGTATAAAAGTCAAAAAGTGCTGGAGATGTCATTCAGCTGGTGTTTCCTAGCATGCACAAGGCCCTGGGTTCAGTCCCCAGTACTGGCGGGGGAAGATCCAAATCAAAAAGAAAAAGGAATTTTACAACCTAGGAATTGGAAGAAATATATTAGAAATTCAGTCAAAATGTTGTTTTCAAATAATGACCTTGAGGCTTGGGGAACAGAAGTGATCTTTCTTGTTACATGGTAGAGCTAAGCCTAGATTCCAGGCCCTTTGTTCTGCGTGTATCCTTTAGGATAGATGTTTTCCAGGTTTACGAGGGATTATTAGTTGTCATGGAAAGAGCTAATGTGGCCTAAAGCACTTTGTTGGTTTGTGGTATGAGGAAACTTCATTCCAGATCTTTGAGGCTGTTATATCAGATGAGCTTAGGACCTTTAATAGCTAATAGATATTTTGCTGGATCCGCCCATGGGAACGCTAAAGATGTGAGAGGTTTCCCCAGTCATCCTGTAGCTGGCATTGTATGTAACGGCAGTGATAAAGTAAACAAAAAGGAAAACTATACATTATTTAGACACTGGGATTAAATGGCTGTTATTCTATTTCCAGAAATATTATATTGATTTACATTTTTTTTTTTTACCAAAAGTAGTATCTCATTTGAATGTATTTTAAAAGTTATTAATGAGTCTAAGCCTTTTCTTGTGCTCACGGATGTGTTAGTTAGCTTTCTATTGCTGTGACCTGAGAAAAACAATTTAAAGGAGAAAAGATTTATCTTTGCTCATAGTTTCCTAGGTTTCAATCCATGGTTGGCTGGTTCCATTATTATGGGTCTGTGGTAAAGCAGAGAGCATCATGGAGTTGGGAACATGTGGCAGAGCAAAGTTGCTTATCTCATGACAGGCAGGAATCAGAGAGACATACATGGAAAGGAAGAGAAAGAGAGAGAGGGAGAGGGAGAGGGAGACACACACACATGCCAGTGTCCCAGTAAGGCCACACCCACCATGACCTACACCCTCCAATTAGGTCACATCTCCTAAAAATCTTAACACCTCCCTCCTACGAGTGCCACCAGCTGGAGACTAGGCCTTCAACACATGAACTTTTGGGGGACATTCCGCATCTAAACCACAGTAATTGGCTATTTGTATTTTCTGTCATTTGTGAGTTACCTTTTCTTGTTATTATCTAGATCCCAGTTCATTTCTAGTCTTAACCTAGACTTTACTACCAGGGAAATATTAGGATGGTAAAGCATCGCTCCTGTATGGGAGAGTTCAGCACGTTCTTTAGGAGATAAAAAGCTAGGTGGTAGGTTTATATCACTGCATAGATGTTTAAGTGCCTGTGTGAGGAATCAGATGCTGGAAGCTAAGGACGCTGACATAGGTGGGTGATAGAGGCTGAGAAGCAGCTCTGAGTAACATCTCTTGCTTTTCTCCTACAGAGTTTTGCCGCATTGACAAGCCCCTGTGCCACAGTGAGGACGAGAAGCTCAGCTTTGAGGCAGTCCGCAACATCCATAAGCTGATGGATGATGATGCCAATGGTGATGTGGATGTAGAAGAAAGTGATGAGGTGAGCTTTTCCACCCTGCCTCATCTCTCTTTTTTTCCTGTGTAAATCAGTCCTCAACATCTGCCTCGGCAGACTGTTCACTACAGAGAGATGTTCTTTGGTGACTTTTAAAAATTATTTATTTATTTGGTACTGGGAGTCAAACTTGGGACCTTGTGCTTGTGAAGCAAGTGGCAGAACCACTAAGCTAAATCCCTGGCCCTATTTTTAAGAGAAAATAGGTTCTTTGGTGACTTTTTGTTCTCTAGGAACTGAGCCAAATCAAGTGAGGTGGCTCTTGGCAGAGCAGTCCTCCAGGAGCCAGCCTGGCCTTGTGCAGGCTTTGTGCCTTCATCTGCCTGAGTGAGTATAGGCACTTGGCTAGTAGCATAATACTGACTGAGCTGTGCTGTTTGGGAGGAAAGGGATTCCTGATGTCATCTCTCCAGTTTCTCTGGATCTTTAATTTAATCCTGTCAGAGATAGAGGGTATCAATCTGTATTCAGCTTGTATTCATCTGTATGTTGGAATGTGGGAGAGAAACCAAAACAGCTAGATCCTGCCTTGTGTGAGTTTATACTCTATTTGGGAAGAAGAAACAAATCTTAGAAAATCATCCTAAATTCCAAGCTGCATTTGTTGGGAGCCAGTTGAGTAGTCCAGATAGTAAGAACTAGAGAAATTCTAAACGTTTTCCCTTTTTTTTTCTTCTGTTTTTGTTATTGTTTTTATCTTTTGGCATTACTACAGTTCCAACTCAGTAGAACTGAAAATATAAGGTTATCATGTAAGAAAATATGTAAAGTTTCTCCATATTAAGCTCAACATGAACCAGTAGTTTGGTGAAACTACCAAATCATGCCAAATCTTCAGTAGTGATGCCGTGTACAGATATTACTCATTTTATGACCTATCTGTTTAGTGACTCAACTGTGACCCATCTTTTTCTTTGTACAGTTCTATATATCCTGTTTATAAAGCCTCAATGTCTTTTTTGGTTCAATATACCTTGTTTGTACAGTACTGTAATTTTTGCTGATTATTTTGTACAGTATTATTCTATACTTTTATGTTTTGTTATACATTACTTACTGCATGTAAGAGTTATGGAAATGAAAGCAAAGTCATCAAGTTGGAGTTTTCTTTGACCATTTATTTATTTTGAATCTTGTAATGTCCATATTTTATACAAATCCTCATTTAATGATCAGTTCATTTAATGACCTAGACACAGGAGTGTAGCTCAGTTTTTAAACAAGGAGTGTTTGTATATTGTTTTGTTTTTTGTTTTCTTTTTTCAGTATAGGGAATTGAACTCATGACCTTGCACTTGCCAGGCAGGTGTGGTGCCACTAAGCTACACTCCCTGGCTCTGTGTCTGTATATTTTAAGAGAGCAGATAAGCCTAGACTCTCTTCCCTTCTGGTTAGTCTGACTTTAAGTTTTGAATTTAGTTTTGGATCTCACATCCTGAGAGGACTTAGAACATAAAGAAGCTATACAGACAAAAATGACATGAATGAAGACAAGTATGGAAACTATGAAATTAAGAGCATTAAACACAGTCTCTAACCCACAGGCTAAGGTAGTAGGATCACAAGTTCAAGGCCAGCCTGAGTCAGACTTTGTCTCAATGTAAGCAATAAAAAAGGCTGTAGTTTAGCATCCACTAGGTTCAATTTTCAGTACTGAAAAACAACAACAACAAAAAACAAAAAAATGAAGAGTAAGCATTAAGTATATGCCCTTCATTGTGCTAGGTATGGAGTTGCGATGGTAAATGAGGCAATGAGGCAGTTATATTCTGTCCACAATTTATAGTCTAGTGAAGATGCTTAGCATGGAAAAGAGGAGATTCATATAATGTAATTTCTGTCTTCAAATATGTAAGAAGTGGAAAAGTCAGATTTTAAAAGCAACAATAACAATGAGTACCCCCAAACTAGCTATCATTTATTGAACTTCTCTTCTATGCCAGGCACTGTTGAGCTCTTTGCATAGTTACTTGTTTAATTTTCTTTTCTTTTTTGAGACAGGGTCTCACCCTGCAATTCAGACTTGGCCTTGAACTTGCAGCAGTCCTCCTGCCTCAGACTCCTGAGTGCTGGGATTACAAGTATGCGCCATCATGACTGTCACTTGTTTAATTTTTCTTAACAGCTTTGTAAAAGTGTTGTCATTAACATGGAACCTTACAAAGGTTAGCATTTTGTTTTATAAGGACATAGTGGATATGAACTCAGATCTGATTTTAAAATCCATGATCTTAAGCACTGCTATATTGCTTCCCTTATTCTAAGGGCAGAGCCACAACCAATGTGGGGAAAATAAAAAATAGATATTTTCTTTAGCATAAAAAATTGCCGTGTTTCCCCCTCTTCCTCTCTTCTTCCTCCTTCTCCCTCTCCTCTGTTACAGCTGTACTGGGTATTGAACACAGGACTTTGTGCATGCTAGACAAGCTTTCTACTATGAAGTGACCCCCAATGCCTTGCATTTGTTTTGAGGCAAGTTATTGATAAGTTGCCTAGGCTGTATTTGAACTTACAGTCGTCCTTCCTCAGTCTCCCAAGTAGATGGAATTAAGGGAGCATGTCACCATGGCCAACAGTTTTCCTCCTTAAGTAGTGAACCCCTTGTCATTGAAGATAGGGAATACAGCTCTCCACTAACTAGTCAGAAGAAGGGATTCTTCTGTTATGAAGAAATAGATGATGTCCACCAAATTCATGGAAAAGAAAAGTGGACTTCCTAGAGGAAATGTAGAATTTGGATAGAATGGATATTTTAGGGCTACCTGAAGAGTGGAAAACCAGTGTGAGCAAGAGATGTGATGATGGGATGGTTTGGTTAGACAGAGGGACTGTGGTAGAAAATCACTATGCAAAAAGTTGGAAAGGAGAGTGGTGCTTAGGAGCCCCAGGCTGTGATATCTATATATCTCTATCTCTATTTATATCTCTATATCTATCTGTCTATATTTTGTACCAGAGATGGAACTCGGGACCTTGTGCTTATGAGGCAGGCGGCAGAACCACTGAGCCAAATCCCCGGCCCTGAGAGATGTATGTCTGTTGAACCAGGCAATTATAGTTCTTGAGCAAGGATTTCAACTGTGATCAAGTATCTGAATTTTTGGTATATCCAGAAGTGTCACAGGACCAAAATTTTATTTCTTTCTGCCAAAGATAGGGCCATGTTTCTGGTAGTGAATGAGATATCCTGATCACTGTCCTAGGACATTGCCTTAGAACTGGGGAGTGCACAGTTTACAAGGTGATATAATCCAATATCTACAAATTCCTGGATATCTTTGTCATGTGCTCCTCCTTTTTTCACATTCTGCTGAACTGCTTTGTCAATGAGGGAAAGGAGAAAATGTTCTTTTTAGAGGAATGTTATCACAACAAAAGCTCAACAGCAATAACTGTTCCAAAATAACACAAAAGCTATCAGCCTGCTCTTCTCTGCACCAGTAGTGAGCTGTTCTTTTTCAGCATAGCTTCTGCCTTGCTTTGGCTTCCTCTGTTCTCACTGCAATCTCAGGCCTCTTGTGTTTAGAAGAGGCCTGGTAGCCTGAGTGTTCACAATTACAAACTACTGCCCTTAAAAGAGAAAGTAGTAAATGTGTGTGCTTAAGGCAGTTTAAACATATTTGAAACAGCTGTGGGATTTAGCTCCAACTAGAAAATTTGGTGGATAGATCAGGGCTTAGAATATTGGGTGATGGAGCTGGGCATGGTAATGCTTGCTTGTAATCTCAGCACTTGAGAGGCTGAGGCAGGATGCTGTGAGTTCAAGGCCAGCCTGGGCTATATAGTGAGTTCAAGGTCAGGCTGAACTACATAGCAATAATCCTATCTAAAAAAAAGAAAAGAAAATAAAAAAATAAAAAAATTGAATATTGGGTGATGGAAGATGAGGCACCATGGATTAAACACTGCTTGTGCTGGCAGTTAAGAACTTGAGATTTTTATGACTCATTTAAAAACATTACTAGTTAACTAAGAACCTTAATGGATATCTAAAGTGAAGCTCTGTTAAAATTTCATTTATTCTGCCTCAAATCTCTAAGTTTTTCTGATAACTAATGTGAACTGTATGATCTACCTCAATGCTATATCTTTAAAAAAATTTAGCTGTTTTTTATATTACAGTTTATACTTTATTTTCCTATAGGTTGCTGTTTTATTTAATAATTTATCTTAAAGATTTTTTCCATTTTATTCTGTGATTGCTGCATAGTATGGGCATATTCCATGATATGTATCATAGTTTAGTTTTTTATCATTTGTTATTTTAAAAATTTATTTATTTTTATTAGTACATGTTTGCCATACATAATGATCACATTCGTCATGGAAATTTGTACCTGTACATAATATATTTCAATTCTTTTTTTTTTCCATTCCCTTTTAGCTATTTTTAAAGTAAATCTTCCTAACAGATTGTGACCATAGTGTTAACTTTCATTGTATGAATCAAAGCATGTCTTCAGGCCTCTTGCATAGTACAATACATTCCCTAATACATTCCTATATTGTTGTGCTTGCTCCTTATAGTTTTCCTGTCTTATCTTTGATTCATTGTCATTGTCTAAATGCTATATCTACTCTGCTATGAAATTAGGCTTACAGTAAACTGAGCTCAGCAGGCATTTTATAGAAAACATGTAATCATTTGTGTGGGGTAGCTCATTTGCTGCTAAAATGCAAAAAAAAAAAATTGTTTGTTTTTTTTTTTTGCTTGTGTCTGTTCTAGATAGCAGAGGCTGTATATGTGAGCCCTTCAGATAAACAAGATACACTATTGGTGTTGGTGCCCTTTTTACAAAACTAACAGGAAGTTTTACCAAGCTGGGAGTGTGGGGATTCATGACCTGTGTTCTATTTGTACCTTTGATGGGGACACTGCACTGCCCATGGGCAAAAGATTTGGTGTGGCAGGAAGATACTGTCAGGTCGCCTTAATAGAAGGAGGTGGGCAGACAGAAGCCTGTCTAAAAATACTGTCCCTTGGC